CCTGGCCCTCACGGCTGCTAGTGAGGGGAATGCGGTCCTACTGAGTCCTCTGTGGGGCAGCACTGAGGGGTTGGGGACCAGCAGACTACTCCCAGAGCACCAGCCCTGTGTAGTGTCTGGGCCCACAGAGCTGAAGCAGATGCCATCCCATTTGGTGGGGACGCCAATAGGAAATGACTTCACTTTAGGGGTCACATAACTGAGCGTGGGGTTAGGGAAGACTCTAAGGGCAGGAGATGGAGATGATACCTCTCAAGGGATAGGAAGGAGCCCTTTGGATTCTGAGCAGGCAAGTGAAGGGCAGGGGGAGGGCGGGAGGGTGTGTGTGAGACAGCCTTTGGATTCTGAGCAGGCAAGTGAAGGGCAGGGGAAGTGGGGGAGGGTATGTGTGAGACAGAGAGATAGATAGATAGATAGATAGATAGATAGATAGATAGATAGATAGATAGATAGATAGATAGATAGATAGATAGATAATCGAGAGAGATCCCCCAGGATGAGGGAGGCAGTGGAATAGAGAAAAGGGGGCTGAGTTGGAAGTCTGAGGAAGGGAATTGGCAGGACTTGGTGGTTGATGGCGGGAGAGAGGCTGAGGAGCTCAGCTACAGTTAGTGAGGGCAGCTTTACAGAATAGCTGCCCTTTAGGTCTCTGAAAGCACAGAGGGACAGAGCAAGGACAGAGCTACTATTGTAGGTAATAAACTAGAGTTTATCACTTATTTTACAGATGAGGGAAATGCAGCTTAATGAAGGGAGAGTGACTTACATAGGGACACACAGCTACTGACTTGCCCATGGCATCTCCACGGCCCCTTGCCCAACTTCCCCTACCCAGACTGGACAAAGGGGCTCTGGCTCTGCAGCTGCTCTGTTGGCTGAATCGCAGGGCCTTTGGGAAATCCCTTCTCTTCAGCTTAAATGGAAAGCTTCAAGGTCAGAAGAGGTTGTCTTAGCCAGCCTGTGACCAGCCAGGGGCTTCCCTCTGAAAGGGAGCAGGGATCAGCCCCTCCCACCAGCTCAGCTACAGCTCTAGGCTCCCCCTCCCTGGACTGGGAACCTAGGGCCTGGGTGAGAAAGGGGGTGCAGTGTGTGAAGTCAACCTTTGCTGTGATAACTGCCCCCAAGGCCGGCCTGGTGTCCACGAGATGCCCTTTCCCTGGGGGCAGGAGCAGGGCACCCACTCAGGACTATGACCTTCTATTCCAGACAGACCAGCACACAGGGCTCTTTCACTCCACACCACCCTCCCTGACACTTATTATGAACATTTTCACACACACAGCAAAGTTGAAAGATTTAACCACCTGGACTCTACCATTAACATTTTTCTCTACTTGTGTGATCACAAATTATTCATCCCTCACTCTTATTTTTTAAATGTATTTCAAAGTGAAGTGCAGGCATCAATACATTCTCTGCTAAATATTTCAGCATGTATATCATTAACCAGAGCTCAATACCTATTTACATTTTTTCTTATGTGAAATTTACATACAGTGAAAAACATAAATCTCACATGTACATGTCCTGAAGCCACCTTTCACTCAGGAAAATAAATATTTTTGTGGCTCATCCACATTGTTGCATACAACAATAGTGCATTGCTTTTTTAAATAAACTTTTAAATTTTGGAATAACTTTAGATAGTTCAGGGTTTTCATATGCCCCATACTCAGTTTCCTGCGTTGTTTACATCTTATAGTTCCATGGTTCATTTGTCAAACCAAGAAACTGACTCTGGTACATTATTAAATAAATTCCAGACTTGATACGGATTTCACCAGGTTTCCTGTCATATCCTTTCTCTTCCAGGATCCAATCAAAGGCACTACATTATACTTAGTTGTCATGTCTCCCTGTGCCCTCTGCTTGTTTTCTCGGTCTTTCCTAATTTCTCATGACCTGGACAGTCTTGAGCACTGGCCAGCTAGCCTGCAGAGTGTCCCCACTTTGGGTTCGTCTGATCGTTTTCTCATCATGAGGCCAGGTTTTGTGTTTTTGGAACGCTCAGGAAGTACATGCTAGCCACACAACTTCATGCTGTTACCCCTCATTTGGTTAAGATAGTGTTTGCCAGGCTTCTCCAGTTTAAAGTTGCTATTTTCTCTCTCCCAGCTCTGCTCTTTGGAAGTGAGTCACTAAGCCCACCCTTCAGGGCAGGGGGTGGGAAGAGGGCAGGAATTAAGCTCTGCCTCCTGGAGCGGGGAGTATCTACATGTATTATTTGGAATTCTTCTATAAGGATTCCAAAAGGAATTTCTCCCCATTTATTTATTAAGTCATTTATTAATTGGCTGATTGTTGTTCATTGACTTGGTATTTTTATCAACATAATGTACATAATTTACAAAGTTAAGGCTTATGAGGAAAAAGAATAACTTCTTAAGGTCTTACAATTATTCATTCTGGTACTTCTAAATGATATGCTTACTCTATTGGTATTTCTTGTTGATTTTTTTCTTTTTATATTGAACCATATGAAATTGCCAATAGTTAACCGTTTATGATCTGCAAAAACAGCAGTTTCATGTAGTTCAATCTAATACCTCATATTTTGACTTCCTGCTACTTGCGTGCCCAGCTGTTTGTGTGTGACATTGGTGCTGTGATTTTATGATGGACATTCCTTTCATACTGTGATAACTGCCCCCAAAGGACAGCTGTGGGACAAGGCCTCAGGGGCTTCCTGGGCTCTGTCTGCTTTACTGATACCCACCCACAGAGGCAGAGTTCTGTGCCCCCTGGCAAACTGGATCCCTGTACATAGCCTTGCAGGGTCCATGTCTCCTGGTATAGCCTTAGACCAACTATTGACCCCTTTGTGCCTTAATTTCCTCATCTGTACGATGGGGATCGTCAATCCTTCCAGACAGGCCCCTGTGGTGCCTTGTCCTAAGTTCCTCCAGGCAACTCCATCCCCTTCTTCCTGCTCTCAGTGTGAGAGGCTGCCCAGGACAGGGCTCTCAGGGTCAGAGGCCAAGATCCCAAGCTCAGCTCAACCCTCTGACCTGCTCCAAGACCCTAGCCAGGTCCCCCGCTTGCTCTGGGCTTCCGTCTCCCTGTCTGTGCCGAGAAGTGATAGTTGCTGATAGTCTGAAAGGCTTCTAAATGCCTGAGAGCTGGTGAGGTCTGCAATGCGGAGCCCCTCTCCCCTCCCCCTTCCGTGGTGCTGGGCCTTGCCCCTTCTGTTCCAGGGACTGGAGGTATGGGAGCTTGGGACAGATGGGAGTGTAAGGCTGTAGGTCTAGCACGTGAGAGATCTTGGGAAATCCCTGTTTCTCTCTGGGCCTCAGTGAGAGGGATGGTAGGCTGTGTTTCTAGGGCCCTTTTGATTCTGTGGTCCATACAAGAAAGACTGAGCTGGGCACATATACCATGGCGGCAGAACCATTTGAGGAAGGAGTACAGTCCTCAGGCAATCAGAGATGAATGTAAATCTGAAATTTGGATGAGTTTGCGCTACCAAATAGAGGTTAGTGGAGCCAAGACCCAATCTGGGGAGTAAGGGAGGGCTTCTCTGAGGAAGAACCTTCCTGATACTTGAAGGGGAAGCAGGTGTTGACTAGATAAAAGGGGAGAGACTATTCCAGGCAGAGGAAACAGCAAAGATCTGCAGTGGAAGGGAAGAGGCCAGTGTGGCTGGAGCAGAATGAGGTAGAACAGGGGAGAGGATGATGCATGTACACAGCAGGGACCAGGTACAAGGCCTGAGAACCCCAGGGAGTTTGGTCTTCACCCTACAAGGCATAGGAAGCCTGTAGAGGACTTCGATCAGATTTGTTTTGAAAAGCAACCTCTGGCCGCTAGGGAAAATGCACTGAGCGGAGAGGAAGTTTGCGATTCAGGGACCCCAAAGAAGAGACTGCTGTTGAGATGACAGTGACTTTGTCCAGTGTGGTAGCTGTGAAGATGGGTAGAAATGGGTGGATTTGAGAGTTTAGGAGGTAGAATTGGCAGGACTTAGTGGTTTTGTATATAGGAGAAGTATTGGGTGATTCTGTGGCCTGAGCACCTGGATGGAAGATGGGAGACATAGGTTCCCAGTGGGAGAAGCAGGTTTGACAGGTGAGCTGGCTGGGGTGGAGGGGCCTGTGGGCACCCAAGAGGTGAGGTGGGGCCTCCGGTTGCACAAGTATCAGTCTGGAGTTCAGAGGCCAGGGCCTGGGAAGGAGATGTGTGTGGATCTTGGTATAGGAAGGGAGGGCAGTACAGGTACTTCTGAGGTGCCAGCGAGACCTTGCAGGGTCAAGTGTAGGTCCTGAGGTGGAAGACCCTAGAAAAGGTCTCTCCAACAGTTGCCTAGCCCCTCAGGTACCCAAGGTTCAGGAGGAGGTACCTCAAAGTTTCTCTCTTTCTCCCCTCCAGATCCTGCTCATCTCCGATTACTTCTACGCCTTCCTGCGGCGGGAGTACTACCTCACTCATGGTCTCTACTTGACCACCAAGGATGGCACGGAGGCCATGCTTGTGCTCAAATAGGCCTTGCGGGCACAGGGCTGCACGGACCTCAGGGGCTAGAAGGCCAGAAGCTGGGCCAAGCCCTCTAGCTAGAGTTGCCAGCAGACAAGTCCTCAGGCAGATGAGGTTCAAGTCCAGGGTCACAAATCTTGGCACCAGAGGGGGAGCCAAGGCTGGCAGCAAGGCCTGTGGGGTGTTGCCAGGAGCACCTCCACTTGGACCCCCAATTTGTATCTCTGCACTCCAGGGAGCCCCCCCCCGGGCAAGAGAGGGGGAGAAGCAGGTGAGCAGGGTTTGTTAGGTTGTGGCTACTTAATAAATGTTTTTTTTGTTATGAAGCAGTCTACCCTGGGCCCACACTGCACTCCTGGAAGAGGTGGGATTGGCCCCTAATACTGCCATGGTACACTACACAAGGGTGTGGGTTTCCAGGATGAACCCTAAGTCCACAGAACACAAGTCTGTGCACTGGAGAGCCAAAAACTGCATGGGACAGCCCCACCAGCAGCCCTCCCCACCCCGCAAGCAGCTGGAGGCAAAGGGCCAGGCAGGCCTGAGCAATCTTTATTCTGCAGAGGGACAATGACCACAGATCCATTCAAGACCAGGTGAGCCGGGGACTAGTCCTTCAGGAGAGGGTAGGTCCAGGCAGGGGGCAGCGCCTCAGGTGGGGGAGGGGCAGACAGGCAGGAACTAAAAAAAAGATAAACCAGACAGCAGGGGTGCTGGGGGCGGGGGCGGGGCTGCTCCATACCTTCCCCCATCAAGCACCCAGAGGGACAACCCTAACATGACTGCATGACTAGCCCAGGATGCACCCAGGACAGAGTCAGAGTGGTTGGTGCCCCCTAAGGGGCAGCATCCCTGCCCAGCCCCCCAGGGGCAGAAGCAGCTCAGTTCAGGAGCCAGGAGCTCTCTGGGCAGAGCCTGATAGGGCCCCCCACTCCCAAGCCAAACCCCCCCCCCCTACTGCTGGCTCAGAAGCCGAAGGTTTCCTGGGAGGCGTAGACCATGTAGAGGAAGCCGTCATCATCTTTCTCCTGCTCATAGATGTCTGCGATGGGCGTGGACACGCTCACCATGCTGTGCTGGTTCACCAGCAAGAAGAAGGCCTGCGTGGGGTTAAGCTGCAGGCGGCGCCTGAGGTGGACAGGAGGCCATGCTGAGTGTGAGGGGCTTGGCTGCTGGGTGGGTAGAGCCCGGACTCCCCCCAAATGATCCCAGCCCCTTCCAGAGGCTCTCACCCGATACTGACCTCAGCCCTGACCTTGATCTTTCCCAACCTTCCCCCACCCCTTCTCAGAAGGACCCGGCCCACCGCCGGACCCCAGCAGGACCCAAGTTCCCCTCTGACAGCTGCTGCCCACGCACCGGATTATCTTGACCAACTCGCTCATGTTGACATGGTCTGGGACCAGGAACTTGGTCTTGTCTAGGACAGGCAGCTGCTTCTCACCCTTGTAGCGCTCGATGATCACCTGGGAACAGGGTGGGGAGGGGGACGCATGAGCCCGGGGCGGGACCTGGGGCCCTGCAGGGGTGTTAGGGGGCCGCGGGACTCACCGGGATCTTGCTGGGGTGCTGGTCGCGGATCTGCTGCACCTCCTTACAGCGGTCGGCTGTGGAGGGAGAGCTGGCAGTGAGGCTGGGCCGAGGTCCTCCTCACGGTTGGCCCCGCCTGTCCCAGAGGGGCGGACCCCGGCCCCACCTCCCCAAAGCCCCCGCCCCCGGGGCCATTGGGCAGGTCCCGGCCCAGGCCTGAACCTGCCGCCTAGCCTGGGGTCCAGCTGGAGCCTGACGTCACGGGGCTGACGTCACCTGCAGCAGTCAGATCGGTCGCGCCTCCCACCCCCCCCTCCCCGCAGATCGCCCGCTGGGCCTCACCGAAGCTCCGCCGCTGCTTGAAAGGCCGGTCAGAGGGCATCTCGCGGGCCCGGCAGGGCGCACAGGCTGAGGCTCCGAGGTGCACGGCTTAGGGATGTAGCTGTGGTTCAGGGGCTCCGCACCTCACGCTCAAGGGCTCCGGGGCTCACGCTGAGCCCGGCGGCGGAGGCTCGGGGAGGTAACTCGCCTGGGTGACGTCAGGTCACAACATTCCTTAAAGGGGAGGCCGGTGCGCTGCTCCCATTGGGCCGACGCAAAACCCGCCCGCCCAGACCGTGACGTCAGGGCGCAGAGAGCCTGGATCCCCGACTCGCTCTGTAAAGGGCGGGGGCGCCCAGGGCGCGTCACAGTCCTGTGACGTCATGGCCTGTGTGGCCCCTCTCCCCCAGGCCCAGGCTGAGCCGAGACTGAAAAAGCCGGGTGCTCGCAGCTCCAGAGGCGGCGGGAAAATCGCAGGCCAGGATGCAGATCGGCATCCTCTGTTCCTGCTTCACTGTCATCTGACAGTGCATACGCAGAGTCTCTTAGTTCCAGAGGCGCTGAGGATAACAGCAGTTAACCAAAAGTCCTCCTCTCATTCCTGGAGCTTATGGTTAGAGAAAAAGGTGGGATAGGGAGAGATTAAAATATAAAAGCAAGATACTAAAAAGGAACACAGATTTTAAAAGGAATTTCTAGAATTGGCGAAAAACTATTGAAATTCAAGTCTCAAAGGATGAGGCAAAAAAGATTAGACACCGCAGAAGAGAATCTCTCTGAATTGAAGGATAATCAGAAGTGATTAAATAGAGAAACAAGGTGATGGAACATATAAAAGAGGAAGTGACCTAAAGTTGAGAAGAACTCACACGGCCAATCAGAATTCCGGAAGGAGAGAAAAGAAAGATGGAGAGGCAGTTCCTGAAGAAGAGCTTCCAAAATTGATTAAAGACCAGGATCCTCACATAAAATCCAGAGCAGAATAAATAAAAATAAAAGCATCTAGGCACTTTGTAGTGAGTTTATAGAACTCTAAAAGAAGAAATTAGGTGAGAAAATGGTGAGCAACTAAACTGGGAAACACATAAGTCATTTAACATGCACTTACTTGGCACGTGAATAGTGATGATTAATTTGTGGGTTGCAAAACAAGGAGCATGGGACACAGTGACAGGTAAGACTGGAGGGGGTAATCAGAGTTCAAGTATTCTAAGAAGATTTTTTTGAGAGGAGGAGGAGGATAAAGATGATAATTGTCTAGCTTTGTAAAGTCAGGTACGTATTTCAGACACTTAACAGAAATCGCTAAAAGAATAGAAATAGGAAGTATAACTGCCAATGCAGAAAAATGGTTAGAAAAGGATATTAAAATACAATGGAAGACAGAAAAGATGAAAAGGGAAGCAAAGTAAAAGAATGGTATATAAATGGTACAAAACCAGAGGTAGAAAATGTTTCATATTCACCTATTAAAACAGGGATGATCAGATTGGCAGCAACAACAAAAAAATGCAGCTCTATGCTGTTTACAAGAAGACATTTAAAACCTTAGGTCATCAAAAGTAAAAAAATGGAAAAAAGTACACTTGAGAAAAACTAACCAAAAGATTATCTATAGAAAAATCAGACAAAATAGGCTTTAAGGCAAAAGACATTATTAGAGACAAAGAGGTCACCACAATGATTAAAAGAACAATATCTAGGATGACATAACAATTCTGAACTTGTATGTTAGAGGTAAAAAAAAAAAAAGTCGAAAAGTGTTTAAAGCAAAAGTCTCGGTACAAGGAAAAATTGCCAAATCCTCCAGCATAGTAGGAGCTTTAAGAGCTATTTCAGTAACTGATAGACCAAACAGCCAAAAGAATATAGAAGATTTTAATACTATTAATAATCCTCATCAATGGACTCTGATATAACCCTGAACTCAATATGTTACTTTCAAGCACATAGGAAACATTTACCAAAAAAAAAAAATGACTTAACTACTAGATTCTGAGAAATTAGTCAACAGATACCAACTACTCCATTTCATACAACAATCCCTGACCACAGACACGAGCCAAGTAAGCTCCAAATTTAAACATTTTTCTTAAAAAATGTATTACTCAAATATGAAATCATATAGAAATGAAACCTATTTAGATCAAACCAAAAATGAGAATACATGTAAAAACTCAGGGTGGGGCGGGAAGCAACTAAAGCAGCATTTAGAAGATTTATAGCCTTGTATGAGGTAAGAAGTAATATGGAAAATTTATGAACAGTGTCAATTTTAAAAAGGAATAACAGTGTAAACCCAAAGAAAGTGAAGGATGATAATAATAAAGAGCAGAAATTGATGAAATAGAAAACAATAACACTAGTGTAGACCACAAAGCAAAGCTAGATCTTTGAAAAGATCAATACAGTAAACATTAATTGCAAAAAGAACATAACTATCTCGATATATCAGAAATGACAAAAAGATTTTAAACTTTATGCCATTAGTAAATTTAAAGTTTAGATGAAAAGGACAATTTTCTAGAAAAAGATAATTTGCCAAGACTAATTGAAAAAGAAATAGATACTGATTAGCCATATATCTCAAAAGCCACTAGTGCAACTGGTTTTCTAAGTGAGTCCTCTCAAAATAAATCCTTAAACTTGCAAATATGCTTAACAGTAAAACACCATAGTATATGGTAAAATGCTAAGCATTATTCCCTTTAAAGCCAGTTACAAAATTTTTAATTTTTTCATTGAACAAAATACAGTACTGTTATGCCCAGCCAGAGCACCAAGACAAGGAAAAGAGCAAAACTATCATCCATAGCCAGAATAACCAAAGGAATCTACAAACAATATAAGATTGCCAACTGATAAAGTTTGACAACACGATACAAAGTTTTCGAGGAACTTTTTCATACTGCCGTTGGGAGTGTAAATCATTTCAGCCATATTGGAGAACAATTTGACAAAATCTACCAAAACTGAAGATGCCTGTATCATACAAACCAGCAATCTCACTTCCAGGTGCACATGAGCCCAAAGAAACATGGTTAGGTATGTTTGCTGGAGCGTTTTCATAATAGTGAAAAATTGAGATGCACCTAAATGTTCAATATCTTGTATATTTCTGTGTCTAGAATGACACACTGTTCTAGTAAAAAAGAAAAGGAGTCAGCAAACTTTCCCTTTGAAAAACCAGACAGTAAATATTTTTGGCTTCACAGGCCATATGGTCTCTGGCAACCATCTGTTAGAGTGTGGAAGCAGCCGTAGACAACCAGAATGGGCATGGCTGTGGATATTTACTAAAACAGATTTGTTCCGAGGGCCTTAATTTGCTGACTCTTGATCTACAGCTGTGTGTGTTAAAGTGGACAAATCTCGAAGTTGCACGAGACTGCGTGTAATCAGCTGAAAAGAGTAACGGAAAGAACTAGGTCGGCCATGGACTTGGGGAAATGGTTCCACCTCTTTTGTCAGACTAAGCCCCGGGCTGAGGCTGCAGTGGGGGAGGAGCCCACCACCCAAATCTCAAGGTCTGTGCTCACTCTTCCTCTCACCTGACCCATCAGCAGGGCTAACACACCCTCCTCCAGTCCTCTGGTTTCTCTCATGACTTCTTCATCCTCTCTCTCCATTTCTTCTGAATCTAAAGTCCTGGCCTACTCCTTGTCTCTACTTGAAAGTCTAGCAAACATCTCAAACTTGACCTCCCCCAAATGAACCCACGATCTTCCCCTAACTGTAATCTTCCCGGTTCCAATCTGTCAACTTTGACTCCTTTCTTTTCCTCGCTTCCACATCCAATCCGTGCCCAAATACTATTGGTTCTACATTCAAAATATCTCCAGAATCTGACCACTTCTTACCACTTCTGCCACTGCCACTCAGGCCAAAGCTGCCACCATCTCTTGCCAGACTACTCCCATCGTCTCCTCACTGATCTCCTTGCTTTGGCCTTGCCTGCTCCAGTCTGGTCTCACTACACTGACAAAAGCAATCCCGGTGGATCATGCTGTTCCTGCATCCCACTCATTCAGAGCAAAAGTCAAAGGCTAAACAGTGGCCCATGAGGCCCGTGGGATCAGCCTCCCCGCTGCTCCTCTGGCCTCATCTACACTCACCCTCGCCCCTTTGGCTTCAGCTATGCTGGCCTCACTGTTTCAGGAACCCCAGGAACCCATTTGTGCCCCAGGGCCTTTCTGTACTTATCGTTCCCTTTACCCAGAATATTCTTTCCCAAGATCTCTGCGTGGCTCACTCTCATCTCCAAGGTCTCCTCAGGGAGGTCTTCTTGAATGATCTTATTTAAGACTGCAGCCCCCACCCCAGTCACTCTTTAACTTCCCTTCCAGTGCTTTGCTTAATTTTTTGCCAGAGGAAAATTAATAGGTTAAATAATTTTTCTAAACATTTTATTACGAGAATTTTCAAGCACACAAAACTCGAATATGACTACCCATATACCCATCAGTTAGTCTATGCTTAATACTTGCTCCATTTGCTTCATCACTATCTGTCTGTCCGACCATCCATCCATCTACCCATTATATCTTTTTGATGCATTTAAAAGTAAGTTGCAATCCAACATTCATTGTGATAAAAACTTTCAACACAGTGAATGTAGAGGGAACATACCTCAACATCCTAAAGGCTATCTATGACAATGCCACAGCTAACATCATATTTAACAGTGAAAACCTGAAAACTTTTTCTCTAAGATCAGGAACAAAACAAAGATGCCCACTTTCACCACTTTTATTCAACATAATATTGGGAGTCCTAGCCAGAGCAATTAGGCATAAATAAATAAATAAATAAATGGCATCTTTTTACTTCAGAAAGGAAGTAAAATTCATTTGCTGATGGCATTATATATAGAAAAATCCTAAAGACCCCACCAAAAAACTGTTAGAACTAAAATTTAGTAACATTTGCAGGATACGAAAATTAATATACAAAATCTGTTGCATTTCTATACACTAATAACTATCAGAAAGAGAAATTAAAAACAATTCCATTTAAAGTTGCATCAAAAGATAAAATACTTAGGAATAAATTTAACAAAGCACTACAGATTCAATGCAATCCCTATTAAAATTCCAATAGTATTTTTCACATAAATAGAACAAACAATTCTAAAATTTGTATAGAACCACAAAAGACCCAAATAGCCAAAGCAGTTGTGAGAAAGAACAAAGCTGGAGGCATCATGCTCCCTGATTTCAAACTATATGACAAAGCTACAATAAACAAAACAGTATGGTATTGGCATAAAATCACGCATAGATCAACGAAACAGAATAGAGCCCAGAAATAAACCCATGGTCAACTAATTTATGACAAGGGAGCCAAGAATACAAAACAGGGACAGTCTCTTCAGTAAATGGTGATGGGAAAGGTGGACAGCCATATGCCAAAGAATGAAACGGATCATTATCTTACACTGTACACAAAAATTAAGTCAAAATAAAGACTTGCATGTAAGACCTAAAACCATAAACCTCTTAGAAGAAAACAGGCAATAAGCACCTTGACATCGGTCTTGGCTATGATTTTTTGGATTTGACACCAAAAACGAAAGCAGCAACAGAAAAAAATAAATGGGACTACAAACCAACAGGCTTCCACACATCAAAGGAAACTATCGACAAAATGAAAAGACAACCTACCGAATAGGAGAAAATGTTTGCAAAGCATATGTCTGATAAGGAATTAATATTCAAAATATATAAAGAACTCTAACAAAAACCCAATCCAATTTAAAAAATGGGTAGAGGATCTGAACATTTTTCCAAAGACATACAGATGGTCAACAGGTACATGAAAAGGTGTTGAACATCACTAATCATCTAGAAAATGCAAATCAAAACCACAGGATGTGACCACATATCTATTAGAACGGTTATTATCAACAAGACAAGAAATAACGAGTGTTGGTGAGAATGTGGAGAAAGGGAACCTTTTTCTACTGTTGGTGGGAATATAAATTTCCCCTATGGAAAACAGTATGGAGTTACCTCAAAAAATTAAAAATAGAACTACCATATGATCAGCAATTCCACTTTTGAGCACCTGAAGGAAGTGAAATCACTATCTTGAAAATATATCTGCACCCCCATGTTCACTGCATTATTCACAATACTCAAGATATAGAAATAACCTAAGTGGCCATCAGTATATAAATGGATAAAGAAAATGTGGTATAAATATATACAGTGGAATATTATTCAGCTATAAAAATGAAGGGAATCTTGCCATTTGCAGTAACGTGAATAGATCATAATCTCACTTATATGTGGAACCTAAAACAAATCCAACTTCACAGATACAGAGAACAGATTAGTGATTGACAAAGGCGGGGGAAGGGATAGGAAAAATGGGTGAGGGGAGTTAAAAGTTACAAACTTCCTGTTATAAAATAAGTCATAGGATATGACATCCAGCACAGTACAGCACGGTGACTATGATTAGAAATACTATAGTGTATATTTGAAAGTTGCTAAAACAGTAGAACTTAAAATTCTCATCACAAGAAAAAAAATTTTAACTACGGTGATGGATGTTAACTAATTGTGAGGATCACTTTTGCAATACATACAAATAATGAATTATTATGTCGTACACCTGAAACTAATACAATGTTATATGTCAATTATATCTCAATTTTTTTAAAAGGGGAAAAAAACAGTAAGTTGCAGATATCAATTCACTATATCCATAAATCCTTCACATTCATGTCAGTATTTATTTTTGGTTCTTTTTTTTCTTTAGAGGGATAAACTTCACATACAATTAAACACAGATTCTAAGTGTGCATTTGATGAGCTTTGACAAGTACTCACACCTGTGTACCCCAAACCCCTATCAAGATAACAGAACACAAACATCACCTCTTTACAAAGTTCCCTCTTGTACCCCTGCTCCAGTCCACTCCCACCCTCACCTCCACAGGCAACCACCATTCCAAGTTTTTCACCATAGATTAGTCTGACCTGGCCTTGAACTTCATATAAATGGAAGTCTACAGTATGTCTTCTGTTGTGTCTGACTTCTTTACCACAACAAATTTTTTTTTTTAAATTTTTTTAGGCGAGGCAACCCTTGGTTGACCTCACAGATTGCAAGGACCTCGTCAGCTTACAATCCCTTATTTTTATTTATTTTTTACGCCTACAGTACCTGGTCTTCCTAGGTGGTCTCCCATCCAACTACTACCCAGGCCTGCCCCTGCTTAGCTTCTGAGATCAGACGAAATCGGGCGTGTTCAGGATGGCATGGCCGTAGACTACAATGAAGTTTTTTGAGGTTTATCCATGTTGCAAACGTCAGACCACTTCTTTATATTACCCAGTAGTTTGCATTGTATGGAAGTACTACAGTTCGGTTATCCATTCTCCTATTGATGGACACCTGGGCTGTTTCCAGGTTTTGGTGATTATGAATAAAGCTGCTATGAACGTCCTTGTAACAGTCTTTGTGTGTACATATTCATTTTGTTTCACTTGGACAAATATCTAGGAGTGGAATTGCTAGGTCATGGGGTAGATGTGTGTTTAGTTTTATAAGAAATTACCAGATCTTTTTCCAAAGTGATGGTTCCATTTTAGATTCTTATCAACAATATATGAGATTTCCGATTGCTGTGCATCCTTGCCAACATTTGGTGTTACCAGTTGTTTTAATTTTAACCATTCTGGTAGGTGTGGGACCTCATTGTGGGTTTAATAAGCTATATAATTTATATTTTTAATCTTACTTTATTTCTCCCTCTCACAAACATGCAAGCCCCTTAAGGGCAGTGTTTTCTATGTTTGATGCTGAATCACATCACTTAAACAGAGTGTAGCACATGGTAGGTGCTCAGTAATTACTCGTTGGCTGAGGCACCCTTCTCTGAGCCCACACATGTCATGTCCCTGAGTCACTGCCCATTTGAGAGTGTCGGTCTCCTTTCCAGACCATGTGCAGGCTTTGAATATGGGCCAAGCACTGCTGCTGGGCACTAAGGGGTCTGAGAGGACTGTTTGGGATTGTTGAGGAAACTGTCATCTCAGGGCAGTGTCTCACCCATGTTCAAGCTCACCGTCCCCACTTACCCTATTCCTGCTATTCTGGGCTTCTGACTGGGACTCTGACATGGCCTTGGCTGGCTTGTCACAAGAGGCTGGAGCAACCCCTGGCCAGAAGGTATGTGTGTGTGGGTCATCAGTTACTATGTGACCATGGCAGGTTCCCTCTCTGAGCTTCTGTTTGCTCCTTTACACAATGGCAGAGAGACCTCGGTCTAGTTTTACAACTTACTGGATAACTTTGAACAAATTCTTTCCCCCTGAACCCTCAATATTTTTATCTACAAGATGGAGATAGGAACAGAACCTGATTCTGAGGTTAAGGATCAGTTTGTGACCTGGAGGGCACAGTCATGGGGACACAGGGCCTGGAATCGGAGGGACGAACTTCAGTACCACGGGGCTGTGGTATCTTATTTAAGGCAGTGAACTCACTCATAAAATGGGCCTAACATTGGGAGGACCCAGTGTCCAAATCAGGGACATTATCTCTGAGTAAGGATTGATTGTTCCTGTTTACAGACTCTAAGTGGAATTTTCCAAAGATTTAAAGGCCTGAAACTCACTCAGAAGTCTCCAAGCCACAGGCTTGGGATGCCCCACCTCGCTCTTGAAGCTCACTGGGAAGTGGAAGCCATGACCACCAACTCCACTTCCCACATGGAGTTTCGGACCTGGCCTTTCCTTCCTTTGGGGCTCCCTCCCTCGGTCCCCTCTTCTTTATCTGGTCAGGGGAATGCTCAGTTTTCAACCCACCTCTCTGAACGATGGGCAAGGTTCTCTTCCTCCTCTGTTCTCAGCCCCTGCCCTCCCCAGACACCAGCCCTCAGAGCTGGCCAGTCACCTGGAGAGGTTGCCTCCCTAGGCCTTTCCAGCTGCGCCTCAGCGTTCTTGTCCTTCCTTGGCCCTCAGCTCTCCTCAGCCCACTCATATCATTCTGGGTCATGTCCATGTACACAACCATCAGTGCCTCCAACATGACAGTGATTCCAAACTCCCCACCTCCAGCTCCTGACTTTCCCTCCGGGTCTCAGGTCTGGGTCCTGAACAAAGTTTGCCTCAGAGGCTGAGGCTTCTCAAACTGAACACATCCAAATGGAGTCACCATCTTCCCCAATACCTGCACCTCCAGCTAATCCCCACCTGCCCTTGCATCCATCCCATCACCACGGCCTGACTCAGACACAACTGGGCTTGTCCCTCGCCCACCAATCCGCCCACACCCTGAGTCATCTCAAGCTTACCCCAAGTCACTCTCAAACCCATCTGCCCAGTACTAGCCCTTTCTGCTGTCACTCTGCCAGGTCACCTCTCCTCTGAAACCTGCTCCACTTGGCCTTGGCCTCACACTTTTCTCGTCTCAGACTAGACTGCACCTCACCAATGCACCTCTCCCGCACACGCATGTCGAGGGGCACCCTGACCACCAGAATTCCAGCAAGACTTCTGCTTCCACCCTCTCATTATCAATTGTTTCCTGACCTGTCTCCACTTCCTCCTTGCCCAACAGTAATGCCACAGCCCATCATGATGATTACTTCCCAAAGTGCTTACCTCCTTCATTCTTCTGCTGAGTTAACCTGGCAAAATCCTAGTCTTAGTTAAAAGCCAGCTGTGAATTTACCACACAGCTGCACCCCTGGT